TTATTGAAAATCAACAAAACCTTGAAATAGAATAAAATAATCCTTTCTGCATGTCTTCGGTTCCCAACCTGGTTCTCAGGGCCCCCCAGACAGTCCACGTTTTTCCTTCATCCCTCTTTGTTGTGATTGGGTTGACTGGTTGAAGCAAAAACGTGGATCGTCTGGGGGGCCCTGAGGACTGGGTTGGGAACCACAGCTCTATATGTACGTCTTGACTACAACGTTTGTGGTACGTCTTTAATGAACAGAGAGATATGCCTGATAATGAGAGCTAAATAATTCAGAGAGAGAGAGAGAGAGAGGGAGAGAGAGAGAGAGAGAGAGAGAGAGGGAAAAGAAAGGGATATTGATCCTGTGTGATAAAGCTGTTCTCTCGTTTCTCGGAGTGTAGGATGAGTCTCATCTGTCCTGGATCATTAGATCAGGTTCATCATGATTACAGACTCACTCTTCCTTACACACACAGCAACATTCTCTTGTAGACTGCAGCCTCTTTTCAGCTTGTTTCTTTACTGACTTTGTCACATTTCTTTCCAGAATTTGCTGATATTTCGTGGAATCCATTTTTTTGTGCAGTGTTTCCAGTGCACTGCCACACAACCCCAAAGCATAATAGGACCTCACCCCTTGCTTAACAGTTGGCAAGGTGTTCTTTTCATCAAATGCTGCTTTTATTCTCCAAATATCTCTTCGGTGATGGTGGCCAAAGAGTTCTATTTTACTTCATTAGTCCACAGCACTTGTTTCCAAATGTCTCTGCCTTCTCTAGATGTTGTTTTGCATACTTTAGACATTGACTTTTGTAGCGAGGTTTCAGGTAAAATTTTATTCTAATGACTTTTCTGTGCAGATCATGTTTGTGCAAGCAACACTACACAGCAGAACAGTTCACCACCATTCCTGTGCGAGCTAAACCTTCCTGCAGGTTCTCTGCCTTCATATGGAGGTTTTGCTTTGCCTTTCTGGCCAACATGAGCAGTTTTATCTGAGTGTTTTCTTGGTCCTCCAGATTTTGCCTTGACCTCCAAAGTTTCCCTTATCTTCTATTTCTTAAAGTCATTTTGGACCGTGGAAATTGTGAACTGGATCTTGTGGCCTTCACTGCTTTGTAGGCATTAATTAGCTTCATTTTCAGATCCTCAACAGCTGCTTAGAGGAGCCCAGAAGTGTTAGCACAAAGTTTGAAGAGTCAGAGAATTAATGTGTTCTAAAGTTATCAGCCAGCAATTCCTAACGACAGTCTGCGGCCTGTCTAACTAGTCCTAATGAATAAGTTAAGGCTTAACGAGTGATTAAGTTATGAGCCTTTAGAACTGAAAGGGTGTCGAAGCTTTTGCACGTCTCAATTACTATTTTGTTTTTTCAGTTTTTTTCAGTTAATCATGTCTACAATACTTGTTTATTAAGATTTTTTAAAGAATTTTTTGAAGTTAGTAAATAATGTACTGTAATTAGATGTTTACATATATCGTTTTTGCCAAGGTTTCTGACTTGAGATCTAAAATATGATGTATTCTGGACATTTGTTGTATTAGAACATAATGTTCTATTGCTTTTTCAGTCATTTTGGCATCATTTACAGCTGCAACACACATACATGCGCATACGAGCCTACCTACATATATATAAGAGGGCTTGATTGGTGTTAGGCCAGAAATTTTTATTTGATATGTGTGGCACAAATAACCAACTGTGTGTGTAAGTGTGCTCACACAAGGGAGAGGGAGGGAGAAAAAAGAGATCAGACTAAGCGGTCAAAGCCTTTCTTCCTGAAGAGAAAGCATTGTCTTCAGGAACACACACATTCTCTGAGCTGGTGTGTTTGTGCCGTAGGATTGGCTGGCACGGTGACTGCTGTCCCACAATGCTCTCTGCCTGATCCTGCACACAGACAAAGCTCAAATTTACAATATCTGACCTCAGTGACCCTCTGACCTCACTGCACTGTAGTTGTTTTATAACTACTGAATATGTTTTATCCACAGGTTTCTAACATACTTAACACTGTCATAACAAAACCTAACAAAAATGAAATGATAACTTTATAACAGAAGAAGACATTCTTAACTTTAATGCAGGTTAATGAATGAATTTTATTCCAGGTAACCTTTGATTATTTCTATTGGTGAATTTATCATGAAATGTTGACGCAGTGTAAAGGACAGCTGGAGTTTTCAAATACAGTTTACACACAAACACACACAGTTGTATGCAAAAGTTTTTTTGTTTTTTTTTCTTTTTGGAAGTGAAAAGAACACCCTTCCAGTTGTAAAGACTCAGAACCTTTTTGTTCTCAGAACTTTTTGTTTTTGCACAGCATAGGTGATGTTTATTTACACTTACTTTTTGGAAAGAGGTATTAAAGGTAATAAATAAAGAAAGGGATCTAACAGCCTCTTCCAGACCCTCCCCAGCTGTGCCTCCATGGAGACAAGTCTTTAGTGCTAGGAAAAATCATAAAAGCAGAGTTTGGACTAGTTCTGGCAGGATTTATTGCTGCAGTCAGACTAATTTTGCATAAATGGAAGAGCTTACATAAACCAGAGGTTTTAGAGTTGCTCAGGTTTATGACTGAAACAGCTTTAACTTCCCAGCTTCAAGCTCTTGTGTAAGGCCTATCAAGGTAAATGCTGGGAACGATGCATGAAGTCATTATATACGAGGAAATGTAAGGCAGTGATTCAAAACATGCCTCAGAATCCACCATGAACTACTTCAAGAAAAGGCAAACTGAAGCTTCACAGTTCCCTGACTTTTAACCTCTTTGAAAATCTGTGGGTTGATCTTACACATGCTGTGCATGCTGTACGGCTCAAGAACATCACAAAATCTTCTGCAAGGTGGCATTTCTAAATACCCATTTAGTACTTAACACAACCATCTGAAATCAGTTCCTGATGTTTCCCCAGGTCATATTTTGTAAGTCTGTTATTTGACTGCATTTCCCTTCTTATTTCCAGCCTTAGCTCCAGTCTCCAGTCATCAGCAGCATGTTCTGTTTGCAAGTCAGTTGTCAATTTCAACTGGAGCTTTATTATAAAACTTTTCAGTGTCTTCTTCAGTCGCATCCCTTGTTGCGGCATAAACGTGGATGACAGCAATGTTAATGGTTATGCATGAAATCGGGTCGACATCAGTCAATCATTCATAGTGTTATATGGACTAACATCCTTATTGGCGGTGAAGCCATGCCATTTCTTCTGTGTTGTTCATGGCCTGAGTAGTAAATGCTGTGTTTTCCTCACTGAAAGTGTCCTAATTCAGTCTATTTGAGTTCACTGATATCTAGAAGGTTGATGTGTAAACCAGTGGTTCTCAAACCAATCCTCAGGGGTCTCCAGACGGTCCATGTTTTTTGCTCCATCCCTGTGTGTTGCAAGTTAGGTTGGAGCAAAAGTCTGGACCATCTTGTGTAGCCACTGGTGTAGACGATCCATTTCCATAGTCACTATTTCCAGCTTACTATGGTTCGCACTCTTTATATTCCAGGTTCCCACTCTGATTTTGTTTTTGCAGTTTTAAATTCTTTATTCTATATGTTGAAAGCGTACTCGAGGAAAACTCAGTCAAGATGTACGATCTACTGTTATCATCATATAATCATCAGCAACGTTGATTTTCTATTTGAGACCTAAACATCCAGGCAGATCTTTTTTTTTAAGCCTATGCGTGTGACGTTAAAGATGTCTGACGTGGTCCAAAAAGCTTCCACAAAATCCGACCCAACGCCTCTGACTATTATATTATTATAATTTTAGGCTTTATAGGGTGACTTGCAGCAGTGCATGCACACCATATTTAGCATGTTTTTTTCCTTCTGACTCAGTAATGCTACTAATTTCAATTTTAACAAAACTTATACAGTGCTGCATTAAACTCGCTCAAAGTATATTAAGCATTTCTGTAGCAGCAGCAGTAGCGTGAGGAACTTCAGCTCAGTGGGACTAACAGTTGATCAGAGGAGGGTGGATGTTCTCTAACAAAACACACAGCGATGATAAATTTTAGTGCTTTACGGATGCGTACAATTCCAGTTTATCCCAGCATGACACTGCCTGTCAATCAACTCATGCGCTTAGCAACAAAGCAAAGCTCTGTAAAACCATGTCTGTGATAATCCATCTCTGTCAATGTATGCCAGTGGGTTCAGGTTGGGTTCAGGTTTCAGATTTAGCAGTAGGAGTTGGGCTGGGTCGGGTTTGGTTCGGGTTTCAGTTTCATATCCCTGTGTGTGTGTGTGTGTGTGTGTGTGTGTGTGTGTGTGTGTGTGTGTGTGTGAGAGAGAGAGAGAGAGAGAGAGAGAGAGAGAGAGAGGTGTGAGCCATTCATTTCTTATGCCTGCAGGCAAGCAGCTTTTATCCTGTGCCAGTGTGAGGGGTGTGTGTGTATGTGTAACCACTGAGTGATGCAGCAGTGAGTGGGAGAAGAGGATCAGATCTCTGCACTCCTAGTGTTTGAGTGTGTCAGATTCAGGCCTGCAACAATTAGTCATCAGCCAACTATGTAAATTATGGAAAAAGTCAACATGGAAGAGCTCTGTAATGCTCTATAATTTCACATGTTCCGCACAGTCATTTTGACAGATTGTAATACTCTACAGCAAATGTAGGGGGTGATATGGCTTCTGTTTCATTTAAAAGGTGCTCTATAATGCTCTATAATGTTCACATGACCCACAAATTCATCCTGACATATTGTAATACACTACACAAGTTAGGGTAGGAGACAGTTTGGCCTATAAAAATGGTGTAGAGAGTTTCAGAGATTTTCAGACAGTTTCAGAGTGTTAGTCATGCAGGCCTGCTGAATAGAATTGTAGAGTTCTTGGCTGGGGTGAGGAGGTCATAATCTCTTGCTTTGTTTAAATTTATAATAATACTTGAATAATTTTGCCTGAAACGCACATCCTCTCATCTAAATTTTTTTTGTGTGTGTGTGTGTGTGTGTGTGTGTGTGTGTGTGTGTGTGTGTGTGTGTGTGTGTGTGTGTGTGTCCTGCAGCTGTTTGACCGTGTGCGGGAGGATAACCCTGAGTTCCATCAGAAGATCATTCCGATTAGCAGTGAGCTAACGCAGCCTGGCCTGGCCCTCAGTTCCGATGACGTTAAAAAACTCACCGACTGCATCAACATCGTCTTCCACTGTGCTGCCACTATCCGCTTCGACGAACCGCTAAAGTAAGAGACACTACTGCCCAACACCACACTAGGCCTTGGTAATAGAGCATTAAATATACTTAGCAAAATGATCATCTTCGATATCTGTAATGTGAGGTTATTTTGTTATATTGTGCTGTTGGGTTCTGGTCTATGCTGATTCATGCTGGCCTGGTGTTGATCTACTTGATCACTCTGCATGGTCAGTCTGGTTGACCAGCATACTGGCATTCAAAAAACAAATGCTGGTTTTGCTGGTAACCAGCTGTGCTGGTCTCTGCTGTTTTCTTTCTAGTAGGGAGGTCACAGAAGTTTAGCTATTGTTAGCTATTTTCAGTTAGCAGAGTTTGATACTATTAGTTGATTTTTAATTAGGTACCGTTAACTGTTTTCAGTTATCAATAAATTTCTAATGAGAAGAATTGCCAATCATTGAAGTCTTCTGGGTTCGTCAGACACTAAAGGGCACTTCTGAGCAAGTCCAACATGAATGGGTTCATGTGCAAAATTACAGTTTGTAAATCTTAATCTTTTTCATACAGAAAAATCACTCAATTTTCCAGCACAGCACAGCATAACTTACTTTAACGCTGCTGTTATACTTCTGAACACTTTTAAACTCCGGTTGTAGGACTTTCGAACAGTGCCTCATGTATGAACCGCTTCACTCAGCCAATGAGCTGATCAGCTCGCCATCCAGCACGCAGCAGCAGTAATGCTAGCTAACCAATCTGCACGCAGCAGCAGTAATGCTAGCTAACCAATCTGCACTCAGTAGCAGTAATGCTAGCTAACCAATCTGCACTCAGTAGCAGTAATGCTAGCTAACCAATCTGCTCTCAGTAGCAGTAATGCTAGCTAACCAATCTGCACTCAGTAGCAGTAATGCTAGCTAACCAATCTGCACTCAGTAGCAGTAATGCTAGCCAGCCAGTCAGCGTTCAGTAGCAGTAGTGCTAGCCAAACAAACAGCATTCAGTAGCAGTAATGTTAGCCAAACAAACTGTGTTTGGTAGCAGTAATGCTACTGTCATGCTGCCCAAAACCTGTGTGCTGTCAACAAATTGAAAGATACTGGTAGGTTCTCGTTTTTTTAATAGAATATATCCATTGGAAGTGTCAAGATTCGCCATGACCTGGCTTTGGCATTAGCTATTTTCATTTAGCAGAGTGTTAGTTGCAGTTTATTAATAAATAAAATGTAATAATTATATCATATTCATCGTATTATCTATATTAAACAACATGGGAAAAATATTTGAGTGTGAGTTTAAGAAAACATCTCAAGAAAAAAGAGGACACCAAAAAATGTTGATTTTTATTTTCATATCTTATTTCTAAATAGAATAGCACGGTTATATAATAATTTCCAGTAATTATCTATATGGAAAACTATGTAGGATTTTTGGCATGCACTTTTTGCCGTACACTACACACCACAGGCTGTCACCACTCAAAGAGACGGGACTGTCCAGCACCATCTCTCTCTCTCTCTCTCTCTCTCTCTCTCTCACTCACTCACTCACTCACTCACTCACTCACTCACTCACTCACTCACACACACACACACGCACACGCGCACACACACACACACACGCACACTTACTAAAGTTCTGGTGAGAGGGCCGATCTTTCAACACCTCTCTATCCTCAGTGGGGCAGTCGATACCAACTTGTGCTTTTAGGAAGAGGCAAGGACACAACTGTTAAAATGATAGTTCAGCAAAAATCTTATTCACCCAGTCACCCCCCACCCCAAATGTAGTTGATCCAGTAGAGTCAAGTTTGGTGTCTGAAGTTTGCTCTGTCTGAGAAACCAGATAAGCAGTTGTATATGAAACTCTCAGGTAAGTCTTTGAGGATTTAGGCACGCAGTTAGCACCATGCTAAGATTCCATTAATTGTTAGCTACATTTGGTTAAGGGAGAAAAAGTGTATACATTTTTATTTTTTTCCCAAGCTATTTCCTTAATTTATTATTGAAGGGGACAGAAATGGAACAGTGCTAATATACATGCTAATGACAATGGCATTAGTTACCTAGCTAGTGTTTGTGTTTGTGGAAGTCTGACGGTTTCTCGGTTATGTTGGCTTCAAGTGTGTTAGCAAAGACAGAATTTCCAGCTGAAGGCAGAAAGAGAGCAAACTCAAACTAATAGTACTCACCACTGCCCTCTGAAAGGGTTATTAACAAACATCAGATAAACTGTGCTCATTGCTGCCCTCTCAAGGCGCTGTTAACAGACATCAAATAAACCGTGTTTTTGCAGATGTTAGAACTTTTACGTGTTAGCCATGATGTATCTCAATGAATGTGCTGTCTTGTATTTCTTATACCTCAGGGAAATGAATTCGCTTATTTTCTTACATTGTGCCTCTAGAAAGGCAGGAGTACAGTAGCTGTGTTTTGAGTGTTTTTGCTGTGCATTGTTCATTCTGCCTGTTGTGCATAACAGGTGTGCAAGCAGCTGCACGTAGAACAGTACAGAGTAGAAACCGCTGAGTCCAAATAAGTGGGGGAAAAAAAAAGGGTTAAAACGTAAGAGTCATTCTTCTATTTTTTCCCCTCCTGCTGTTCTGTTTTTGGAGTGCTCCTCTACGTCACAGTCTCGAGAGACACACCAACCCCTGAAAATGACATATGATCCATCACAGAGGCTGTAAAAGGAAAAGTAATGTTACAACAGGATTTTGTATAAGGTGTATTAAAGCCACAGTACACTACAGCACTGAAACACAACTATTACTTATACTGATACATAAATGAAGGTTAATTAAAGGAAAAAAAAATCAGGATTTTCTTTTTCCTACAAATGTTTAACACTGCAACAGGATAGATGGATGGATGAATGGATGGATGAATGGGTGGATGAACTGGATGGATGGATGGATGGATGGATGGGTCACATCAGATTCTAATGTGGGAATTCTCTCTCCCTCTCTCTCTCCCTCTCTCTCTCTCTCTCTGTATGTGTGTGTGTGTGTGTGTGTGTGTGTGTGTGTGTGTGTGTGTGTGTGTACATACGCATGCACCAACTGGCCACTTTATTGATTACACCTCCTTGTATCTGCATTCTGTCTTTTTTATGAGCTCCACTCATCTGTCGCTGCAGTTTGTGTTCATCCTCTAGTCCTTCATCAGTGGTCACAGGACACTGTTTATAACTTTATAACTGTAGAACTACACAGTGCATCTTTTTGATAAATGGAGCTGATGATAAAATGAACAAAGAATGTAGATTCCAGGAGGTGTACTTAATGAAGTGGTCAGTTGATGTGTGAGTATATGAGTGCAACACTTTTGGTTTTGGTCCCATTTTGAGGTTCATTTAAAAAAAATATGCAGGACACACTGCTACAGGCAAATGGTGGTCACACCAGATTCTAATGTGGAAATTCTGTTTCATGACCTACTGTTTTTGCACACCCACACACAATTCTGCTTACACCAGATATAGTCAGTCAGAACAAGACATGTTTGATGGCCAAATTTTGCTTCTTTAGTTTAGCACTGGAGTGACGAGGCTAACACTGCTACCAAGCCAATCGTCACCCAGATATTTTACGGAAATCCCCAGTACATTTCATTGCACATTCCCAAAACATCCCTCATCCCACTCAAACTGCCTCCGGGTCTTCATCAAGAACGCACTTGTCAAAGTAGTTAAGAGTCCCTGTAAATTATGAAAATGAGCAACTGTGTAGCTGAATGCTATGGGCAGTCATTTTTGACAACAGGTGGTGTGTCAAATTCTGATGCACCTGCAGAACCTGAGTCCCCTTGTGTGTACGCTGATTACACTTGAGATTTATGTTTCTGTTTGAACGTATTCAAGATAAACATTTAAGTAATGTGTAGTCTGTATGCCATACAGACAAGCAAAGGGCAGTTTGTTAAAATGGCTGCCCCCAGTGTTTAGCTGCATGGAGACGTTTTGTTCATTTTCATAGCTGGAATGAGTGGGTTGAGAGAAGTTTTGGGGAGATATTTATGAAAAGGATTTGGATGATTATTCTAGTGTTTGGTGGCAATAGCTTTTCTTTTAATGAAGGATTGTTTAGAAAAAACTATGTATTGGATGGGTAAGCTAGCACACTCCCATACAGAGCAATCACAATGGATTGTTTATTTGTTTATTCAAATTTTTTCTAATGTTAATGTTTTGTACTTTACCTACTTTTTTGCTCACTGCACAGATAAATAGCTTTACAGATGCATTTCTCAGGTGCAAAAGACCTTTGCTCTGGTCTGTATGTAGGTGTATATGTGTTTTTGAATGACAAATATTAATTAGAGAAATGTCTTTCATTTTGTGTGTGTATGTGTTAGGCATGCCCTGCAGCTAAACGTGATTGCGACGCAGCAGCTCCTGGCATTGGCGCTGCAGATGCAGCACCTGCACGCCTTCATCCACATCTCCACGGCCTATGCTAACTGCAACCGCCGCCACATTGATGAGGTCATCTACCCCCCGCCCGTCGAGCCAAAGAAACTCATCGACTCGCTCGAGTGAGTGTGTGAGGTGTTTAAAACAGGGACTGGAGTACAGGGTGGTCCATTAGTCGACTTACACCAGATGTACACTGAACAAGTTCTGAAGTCCTAACAGATATGCAAAACGGGGAGCATCTCGCACTTAACATCAGCCTTTTACAGAATTTCTGTAAAAGGCATTGTGTAATTGTATGGTGATGTGACATATTGTGATATACTGCAATTTATTACTCTCAAAGAAAACTTTTTTCAATCTAATGACTAAGTGCCAGGTGAAAGTAATGTTAAGTGTCTCTCTGATTTACTCTTATTGGTCTTAACAGGAAGAAACAGCCCCATCATGTGGATTAAGACAGAACTTCACTGTGATAATCTGTACGTCTAATCTTAGGCTTCATACATTTAAAAATATTAAATCATGTTGTCTGGGCCTCTGTTATACCTATCCTATTTAAAAAGCCAAAATAACTTGTGATTTGCTGTAATTTTTTTTCTCCCAGGTGACTGTTAAGTTACCGTAATGATGGCCCCCAGTGACAGTAAAAACTCATTTTCTGCCACTTTAGGAAAAAACATGTTGTTCATCACATGAACAGACCTTTTTAAACATGTTGGGTGAATTGATATCCTATATTAATACCACATTTATTGTACCTAACATAGGTGAGATTGTTCTACAAAGGCTGCCAGTGTTGAGCTGTGCTGGTTGAACGTGGTCTGTTCTGCAGGCAGATATCGTGCCTGTACAAAAAGCTTGCCTATAGCTCTAAGAAAGCTTATCTATAGATTGCAACGTTAGGCTTCAGACAACAGACAAAACAGCTCTGGTCACAAGTAAAAACGTGTCAGTTGTCAAAAACAGGCTGTTTCAAACGTCCTCAGGCGAAATGGCTTTAGAGATGAAGGTAAAGGGCTAAGCTATGCAGCCTCAGATGCTGAAGTGTGACATTGTAATGTGACCTTTGCAATTCTATTGTGCATTACTACATGTGAAATGATTAAGCTTCAACTTTTGCATTATCACTGTTTTTCCCCCAAGTCTGCCTCAGTGTTTGGCGTCTCAGCGATATCTGTTTATATGTCTATGTATCTTTGTATCGACTTTCTTCTTCATTTTTGATTATATTGTTGCCATGTATACAAGATAACCTCTAGGACATAGAAAAAAAGGTAACGCAAAGCAGAAAAAAATTGCCCCAACATCTTTGTCAAATCAACCCCACCTGACCCAGTTTAACCATGTCCAGTGTTTATTGCCCACAAGCATACAAGAACAAGACGACTCTGTTAACAGCACAATTTGTTACACAATCTTCGTTCAATTCCAATCCTGCTCCCAACCTGGAAATTCACTTCTGATTTTGAGAACTTGTCAAAACTGACAACTTGGGTGAAATCGAACTAAAAATCATGTGTTGTAAGCCCTGTTGTCCATGGTGTAAGCACCGATTTCAGCAGTGTGTCATACAGCATTAGAAACCACATAAGCAGTTCCATTAGAGATTACTTAACAACTCATGGTTTGAGGAGAGTGTGTGATTATTGCAAGAAGTTAGCTTGATGTTGAAATGGGACAGTTGGTAAATTTAATGTTTCACTCTTAGGGTTACATGTACCCCCTCAAATCTCCCGGTTCTTCATCTACTCATTCTGACCCTCTTCAAGGTCTCTCCCCAGGCTTGTTGGTATATTATTGTGACTCCTCTCTGAGTCATCCTGCATGATGTCTACAGAGTTTGCTTGTTTTGTGCTTGGCGCCAGCTGCAATCAGGAAAAGACACAGTATTCATCATAGGCACAATTTAGTTACAACGCTCAAATCACTGTGATTGTGCAAAAGATATTATAGCACTCACATATGGTTAGGTTTCAGTTACAGAGCCCATATAATGGAAAACAACTGTTTTTGGGTACATGAAATCACACGAAGTGCACAAGAAAAATGTAAGATATAGGATGTTCAATAAATACTGCTGCACCATAATATCAGTATGTGCAAAATACCATAACATAGCAAAGGTATCTTGCAAAATACACAGAGCAGATTAGGTTATATTCTGTGTTTTGCTGCGCTTACAGGTGGATGGATGACGCTATCGTCCGGGACATCACGCCGCGGCTGATTGGGGACCGGCCGAATACCTACACCTACACCAAAGCGCTGGCAGAGTGTGTGGTGCAGCAAGAGAGTGGGAAACTCAACGTTGGCATCATCCGACCCTCCATCGTCGGAGCCAGCTGGCAGGAACCGTTTCCTGTGAGTCCAAATTTGAACTGCCATATGTACATTATAGAGCAGAGGTCCTCAAATCCGAACCTTGATTCCAGTGTCCTGCCTGGATTTTATAATCGCTGGTGGGTAAGATGACCAATCAGTTACATCAACAGGTTAGTTGACTACCAGTGAAAATCCAGGAAACCGAACTCAATGTCCAGATTTGAGGTCCTCTGTTATAGTGTATTAGTATTTAATTTGCCAGCACTATTACTTTTAGTTATCCTGCTGGAATAGGCTCCAGCAACCCCCGGCGACCCAGAAGGATAAGCGGTTTAGATGATGTGTGTGTGTGTGTGTGTGTGTGTGTGTGTGTGTGTGTTACTTTTAGTACAAAAAAAATCCAGCAAGCTAAACAAGAATGCAGGCTGTGTATATTTCATGCTTAAAGCACTCTCTCTGTCCCTCTCTTGCTCTCTCCCTGTCTCTCACAGGGCTGGATCGACAACTTTAACGGACCAAGTGGCGTCTTCATTGCGGTAATTTTAACTGCCCTGCTACTGTATGCATGAATGTAGTAATTTAGACATTAAAGAAGGCAGCTCTCAACAAATAATAAGTCAATAAATAGACATGGAGCTCCAGAGTTAATTCTTACTCGGTGAAATCACTCTGAACAGGACAGGTGTGTCTGTGTGTGGTTCAGGTACATAGAAGTGTAGGCAATATTGATTTGTTCAAACATAAACCAGTTAAAAGTACAATGCAATGTATGTATGCGTGTTTTACCATGGCCGGGTCTACCATATGGGCAACTGGGACAACCAGGGTGACTGCCCAGGTGCACCTAGTAGCTGGGGGCACAACACAGCTGCTGTAACAAAAAAGAAATTTGCTCTTGTTTATTAAATTAATTGTTTGTCAACGTCTGTTTTAAACTATTCATAGACTAGTCAAGACTAGTCAGTCTCTATCTAATTCATTTTATTTTTATTTTATACACATCATTTTAATATGTGTGCTTTGAATTTGGCAGGTATTGGTGCTTGCAAAGTAAAGACACAAACAAAATACGTGATCATTTTGGCATCATTTGACAGATTTTCACTAGCAAGATGATGTTGTCTCGCTGGCATAACCAACCCGACAAGGTCTTAGCTGAGAAGCTAATGTTAGTTCAGTTTAGATTTAGATTAGGTTTGTGAAGTACAAACAGGACTAGTCTCTAGCAAAACTGTTGCAATTTGTCCTAAAAAAGGGGCTTGAGGTAGCATTTTCATACCAAGTCCTAGATAAATGTGCGTGTGTGTGTGGGTGTGTGGTTTTAGGCAGGTAAGGGTATCTTGAGGACCATGAGGGCCAGCAACGACGCAGTGGCCGACCTGATCCCTGTAGATGTGGTCATCAACCTCACGCTGGCAGCAGGATGGTACACAGCAGTACACAGGTCAGAACACACAACCCCCCACACATGCACACACATATACACAGTAATGTGTGTTTGAAATCTAAACCCGGCCACTTCATTAAGTGTACATGCTTGTTTTTACACCCATTGTCCAATTCATCAGCTCCACTTACCATAAAGATGGGCTTTGTATTTCTGTAGTTACAGACTGTAATCCATATGTTTCTCTGCATACTTTGTTAGCCCCCTTCCTCCCTGTTCAACGGACTACAGTCTGTAATTGTAGAACTACAGAGCGCACCTATATGGTAAATGGAGCTGATAAAATGGGCAACAAGATGTACTTAACAAAGTGGCTGGGTTGGTGTACATATTAAAATTTACATATGTATATTCTATACTATGGAAAATAGTAAAATTAGATGTGTCCAAACTTTTGGCTGTTGCTGTGTGTTCAGTTACACATGCTTTGTATTGTTATTTGGGCCTCCTGCAGTCTTTGTTGTTTATATATAGGAGCACGGTTTTATTTTTCTGTGTTTCAGACCGAAATCAGCACTGGTCTACAACTGCACAACCGGAGGCATCAACCCTTTCCACTGGGGTGAGATCGGTACGTACAAATATGTAACAAGAACCACACATATGTATGCACACATGGTTGTGTGAGTGCTTCAGGGTGTGTGTCTGTATGTATTGGGGCTGCATGATAAATAGTTTTTATCATTTTTCATGCTATAAACACATCGATAAGGGTTATCATGAGAGAATGGGGCAAATTACCTCCCGTGCACCGTGCCAGAGTGACATAATTAGATTGGTGGGAACGCAGAACAAGTACTTCTCTGTGCTGGGGTTGAGCCATGCTCTTTGGTGTAGCCTGCACTCCTGCGGATTCCTGCAGGACCCACCACAATATCTTGCAGCATGGGACTAATTTTCAGTGTTGCTCACGGGAGCAGGTGGGAAATCAGACCCCTTCAGGTGGGAGCAGGCCAGAGCACACATGAAGAAAAAAACCTGCAAATTAATGAAGCACCTAAATAAAGTAGAACTCAAATCATATATACAAGCAATTTAAATGACAACAGTAAAACAGTTAAAATGAATGAGGTCATTCCAAAGAGTTGCGAAGCAGCCGATCACAAGAACAACACACAAATTCTTCCTCCCAGTGTAAACCAGCTCAAAACATTAAGAACAAACAGACATTAACGAAGCCCAGTAAACAAAGAGTTAACAGTGACAGTGATGACAACAGTAACAGAGCCAAGGCCAGAGCCATCAGTCAGAACAGTATAGTCGAGCTAATGGATCAAACAAAGTAAACAAACAAGTTGGTGTTTACTAATAAACAGAGCGGTATAACCACCGCCAGCCAAACTAGTGACCCGAGAGGCTGCTGTGAGCCTGATGACCATGACTGCCATATTATTTCAGCTGGGAATAATGTATTTGTGAATAGACTGTGCCAGATATTGATGTCAGTTCACCTTGACGGAACTGCGCAAGCAGGACCAAAACGTTTTGGTTGCGGGCAGGAGTGGGAGAAATTATTCCGATTTTCATCATTAAATTACCGCTTCTCATGTCATCACTGTAATATCCAACAGCTACATTGAACATCACACTTTTTGTCCATATCATGCAGCCCCAGTATGTATGACATTTGTGTATGTCTGTATGTGTGAATTGTGTGTTGGGGTATGTGTGCGTGTGTGTGTGGGGGGGGGTATTCATTTGACTTCGGGCGCTTTGGGCCAATCAGTGGGTGGAGGAGTCAAAGCCTGGCATCACCACGGCAACAGAAGGGTGAGAGGGTCATTCTTAGCATCGCCATGGCAACCAGCACTGGTCCATGAGTTACATAACCTGAGGTCCCACAGGCAGCCAGCTGATTACACACATCTGATAAATGAATACAGTTAACAATTTGGCCTGGGTGATAGAATAATTATCAGAGTTCTTTTTATATCAGTAACACACATTTGAGGTGCTTTTGATAAAATGATGCCATGTTCTGTTCCTTAATGCAGAATGAACAGCAAAGGCTTGAAGTTTGAAAAGTTGCTATTTAGTACGCTAGATGGAGTGTCTTTTACTCTCTAGACAGGGAGGGAAAAAAGTCTAACCATTCACTCACAACAGCACAGAGTAGCAGGACTGTTAGCAGAGTTAGCTATTTTGTTATTTATAGCTATATTTTGTTATTTTCAGGTAGCAGGGTTAGTTATCGTCAGTTATTTCCAGTTAGTGGAGTTAGCTGGTGTCAACTATTTTCAGTTAGCGACTTCAGCTAGCATTAGCTATTTTCACTTTGCAGAGTTAGCTGGTGTTAGGAATTTTCAGTGCTGAAATCATGGAGAGTAAAAAAGGCAATGAGTTTGAGGAACTCACCTCAAAAGAAGAGAAGACTGGAGAAAAGGTCTACACAGCCTAAGCAGGGTTCAGTTTCTTTAAATCAGATGTAAAGCAAAGCAATTTTGAAAATATTGAAATTGAGCATTTGAAAATTGCTCATATTGGACAAGATCTATTAAACATGTATTAAAATTTGACTATTGAGCAATCAAACCTATGGAGCTAATGCCCTGTGGACAAATAAATCATTCTAATTGTGGTTATTTATTTATTAATTACTGTGAGAGCTTAAAATAATATTTAGGTATTTTCACTATGTTTTTATGCCATTTGTTGGGTGCTATGATATGATATGACTTTTGACTGTATTTATATTTATTTAAAATGTCCATTCATAATAAAGATATTGTTTCTTTCTTCTTCAGAGCACCACGTGATGTCGACGTTTAAGCGGAACCCTCTGGAGCAGGCATTCCGTCGGCCGAATGCTAACATCACCTCCAACTACTTGATCAACCAATACTGGATCCTGGTCAGCCACAAGTTTCCTGCGCTCCTCTACGACCTTTTTCTGCGACTGTCTGGCCAGAAACCTCAGTGAGAATGCTAGCGCCCTCTATGGTCAAATTCATCAGTGCTTAAAGAGATTATAGTCGATCAGCCAAGACATTTTTGCTGTCTGTATTTTACTTCTTTAGTTTTACACTAGCTCATATATAGCTAATGTAGGAATAATAGAAGTTTAAACTCTACCATTTAGCATCAGACAAAACTACTGTACATACTTCTGTACATACTTAAGTCCTTGTTTATAGATGACATTATTATAAGATTACTAAACAACCTGAGGCAAGTGCAGGGATGCGGGAAGTGGGGGTGCTGAGGGGGCTGCAGCACCCCCTGAGTTCAGAACTGCAACTGCTAAAAACAATAATAATAATGATACAGAGTGTGGCAAAAAATGTATATGTGCTTGTTTTAGAGAGGAGTTTGTAATTTTTAGAACACAGCCTGTTTTTAGACTTTTAAAAAATCATCTATTGTAATAATACTTCATCAACTGTTTTATCTCTCGCTCATTGTGTGTCCACATTAATGTGGATGTGACAAAATCAGTTACCACAGCACATATCAACAATCGTATTGGTCGCCACTTAATTAATTTGCATAAAGTTCGTCCAAAATGAGAGCGCACAGATAGGATGAGCATCAGTGGTCTGAGGTGCCAGCTGTATGTATATATTGTCATCTCTTGCCGCATTGTAGTGCAGTATGGCCCGTTCTGTTTCGTGTAAATTTTCAAAAAAAAAAGTTAAAAGGGGGGAAAATGGCAAATCATTTAGAATGACATCATTGCTCATGTCATATATGCTGCTTAAAATTTCAACACTCAACTTAAAACACCTTTCCCACGTCCTTGTGCAAGTGTGTGATTTTAGGCTTGCTCTTAGCTTGATGCTAATTAGAATGCTAATAAGCTTCCATTATTTAGCCTTGTAGCTCCAGTTCTAAACTAAAGAAAGCAAATTTTTTCAGACACCAAACATGTTTTGGCTGATTTTCTACATTTGGGGTAAGGGGGGGGGGACTATGGGGAATTTGACCTCTGGCTAAACTGTTCTCTCTCTCTTTCTCTCTTGCTCTGTGTCTGCGTGTGTAGGATGATGCGGATCTTTAATCGGCTGCACAAAGCCATCGGCCTGCTGGAGTACTTCAGCAGTCAGGACTGGGACTGGAACTCGGACAACATGAACATGCTGCTGAACCAGCTCAGCCCAGAGGATCGGAAGGTACACAAACACACAGGGAGTACGGCAGCCTGTTTTGCCTGAAATATTCCCTGTCACATTCCTCTCCATCACAAGATGACTATGATGGGGTTGTACTTCTTAGTGTTATTTGGTAGAAAAAATTAAATAGTATCTTTCAAAAATGTCAAACTATCTATCTAAATGTTGCTAAATCTGAAACTGTAATGCTAATTAGTAGAAAAGACAGGAGCTGGTTAGCATAAACAGAACATTTTTAAATATGGCTAATAAAAGCACTAACACAAGTTTAGGTGATGTTGAGTAAAGGCGAGCTACTGGGGTTGAAATGACAAAGGTGTAAAACTTGATTGGCTAATTTAACGTTAGTTTAGCAAGCAGGCTACAGTACCACAGACCACAGTATAGGTTTGATTCTTACTAAATGGTGTACTGCTGACCCAAGTGACCAAGTGGCAGACACTAGTAACAGAAAGTCAAAGTCAAACCTGTTCTGTGGTGTTTGGGAGTTCAGCGTTTTGACTAAGCTGGTTTAGTTAGCAGACCAAACATGCAATACACCACAGCATAGGCTTGGTTCTGGCTAACTGATGCTAAAATGACACCTGTTTAGAGGGTATCTAAGAGGGCAAATGGAGTGACTGTTGTTTATTTGGCTGTCTAGATGTGGAATAAAAATTTGACGTCATCGTTTTGAAATACCGGCCTCATTTTTAAATACTGCAGTATACCAGAGACTTTATAAAGGAGGAGACAGGTCACTGGTTGGAATATGAATGGAAAAGTTTGTAACACTCAATATGGCATCTGTTGATGAGGAAAGTCCTGCCCTTTAATAAAATTAGCCAATCAGCTTTCTGTTTAAGCCACAAGTGGGAAAAGCCCATCTCTTTGTGGACTTCTGTACATGTGCAGTAGCCTGGACAAGCTGAAAAATCATGTTTTTTCTGTATTATTTACAAACTAATTATGCTGTTTTTGTCAAATATGCTTTTAAAACATTAATGTGGCTTTTAGTTTTTAGTTTCTTAGTTTTAGTTTTTTATGTCTCTCTTAATTCAATGAGATAGTAGCCTGGTCTTGTATGACTGAGAAGTCCAATCTCTCTCTCTCTCTCTCTCTCTCTCTCTCTCTTTCTCTTTCTCTCCTTCTCTCTTTCTCTCTCTTTCTCTCTCTCTCTCTCTCTTTCTCTCTCTCTCTCTCTCTCTCTCTCTCTTCTCTCTCTTTCTCTCTCTTTCTCTCTCTCTCTTCTCTCTTTCTCTCTCTCTCTCTCTCTCTCTCTCTCTCTCTTTCTCTCTCTCTCTCTCTCTCCTCTTTCTCTCTCTCTCTCTCTCTCTCTCTTTCTCTCTCTTTCTCTCTCTCTCACAGACATTTAACTTTGATGTCCGTCAGCTAAACTGGCCTGAGTACATAGAGAACTACTGCATCGGAACTAAGAAGTACGTTCTGAATGAGGACATGTCCGACATCCCTGCAGCCCGACAGCACCTACGCAAGTAAGATACATACACACACTTTCAGATATCCTGACTGACCATGTCAGGTTTCCTTTTCACGAAATAATATTAGCTCTTATCTTCATTGGTTTCTAAGATGTAGTTGGTGTGGCTGTTTTTGTTTTTGTAACCTAAAAGCAGAAAAAAGTCAGAATCTTTAAACTATTGATACTAGTGGATGATGTTTTCAGGAGTTATTCTGTGGTTTAAGGTGTGCTTAACTAGCAAGCCATCAAAAGGCAAATATGCATCACTTCTCTTTTGTCATGAAAACATCTTAAACAAAAAAGAAAGTACAAAATAACTTCATGCATCTAGTACCAGTTAAGGATGGGAGTCTGTAGGTGCCTCACGATTGCAGTTTCAGTTCAGGCTGTCAATGTGCGATTATAGTTCTTCATGCATCTTCATTTTTGATTGCTGTACACTACGTTATGATTTTTAGCTTTTTTAGAATTTGAATATAGCGTACACTCTGCTTACTTCTACGTCTACAGGCCTACATCCTTGTTTCACCATCAAATAAGTTTAAACTTAAAATAAAAAAAAAAAAATTGATCTTTTTAGTTCTTGGTTTTTACAGCACATTGTATACAGAGTAGCTTATTTACACAATAGTATAAATATTAAAGCTACAGACACTTTTTAAAGCCTCTATATAGTAGAACCCAAACAAGATACTCTAAAATAAGTCTAAAATTTCACACACTGTCTTTTCAGTACAAAGACCTGATTTCCTGGAGATATTATGCAAATCTGAGATGTCAATTGAATTATATTACATTTTAGTATATTATAGTATATTTTATTATAAGTGTAGCTTATGCATATTGTGGAAAAATGAGTTGCAGTCATTATGCCTATTAGTTTGTTTCATGTACTTCATTTTCTGATCTCTTTCTTTTTGTTTCTTTCTCTTTGACCTCTCTCTCTCTCTCAGGCTAAGGAACATCCGTTACACCTTTAACACCCTCTTGCTGGTCTTCATCTGGCGCGTCTTCATCGCTCGCTCTCAGATGGCCCGGAATATTTGGTATTTCGTAGTGAGCTTGTGCTTCAAGTTCCTGTCGTACTTCAGAGCCTCCAGCACACTGACCAACTGACCGCAGATCTGCCATTAAACTCGCGGCCCTTCGACACGCACAAAGCTCTCTTTAGCTAATCTCACCGTCCATTCATCAGTGCTCGTCCTAAAAGCCCAGCAGTGAGGCGCTGTTTTTAGAGCTTTTCCCCCTTTTATAACGAGTGTCCTTTCAAATAAAAAACAGTTATATATGCAACGCCCTGTTTTACAGCCTTTCATGTGCGTTTGTTTTCTGTCCTGAGACTTCAGAGTTTTCTGTCTAATACTTGTGTAATTTGTCCTGAGACAAGGCCTTGACTTGGGATGACAACAATGACTATTATTTTAGTCTACTTGAATTATGACAGTGTTCACGTTTAAAGATTTGAAGCTTATTGACCTGAATCTCTAAGCCTTTGAATTTAAAGGTGTCATCCACGGCTACTGTTCAGAACATTTTGGTCATTTCCATCAGTGTCCATGCGTGTGAGTGTTTCTTACATCATATGATCATACAGTTCTGATGTTAATGTGTATGTAATGTCTCTTACCTTCCGGCTCACTTTTGGGGGTTCACCGTTTTGTTGTGCTGTCGAGGGTTCCACCCTTTATCTCCAGAGAAGGAAGAACAAAAGTTGATTTTTAATACAACTGTGATGGTTTAACCATTCTGGTCAGATTTCAGCAGAAATATAAATCTCCCAAAATACAATCATTTCATGTAAACACATTTTTTTTTTGCTTTGTGAGAGGAGAGTCTTTTTCTAAGCTTTTAAGAAGTCTAGTTTTTGATTATTCTGTAACCTGCGGATGTCGCTGTTGGCCGAATAATCTGCTAGGCTTGTGGGGCCACACGTGATCTCATAATGAAAATACATGCCAGGGGACAACTACTTAAACTTTTGGTGCTGGCTTGCTGGATTTGCCTCTAAATACCTGCCTACAAATTCCTCTAGTCCGTGCTCTTTTGATGTCAGATATACAAACAATAACACAAGCAGAACAAGCTAGCTAGTGTAACGCTATCATTAGTTAGCTGAACTTTTTGGTCTTTTTTTTACTGCACGTAATGTGTTCTATGCTCATGCGACACATGTCTACACATGTTTAGCCTTGCTAACTTACACTACACCCATGGACTGATAACAGGCTCATCAGATAATGTTAACGTACAGGCTCCACCTGAGACAAGCCAAGATGGGTGCTGAGTGGACAGACTTTCTTACAAGGACTTTAGCTCTGCCTTCACTTAGTATAGAAATTTCACAATCACTTTGTTCCCTAGTAAGTCTACGCTCCCACCCACATTTAGCCCAAATTTCTCATGGTGGTCCCCAGGTGTCTCGTTGCAAGATCTCGTCTGGCCCCACGAGACTACTGTTGTGTGTGATCTGCTTGAAGTGGTGTGTTTTCAGAAACACAAAATGAAACCGAAATTTCTTCCATTAGAAGCATTTTCACAGTTTAATGGAGTTAATAAAAATTATGAATTTGGCTAAAGATTTTTAAAAATAATTTAAATTTACATTTTTAACCTGTTTGGACTGATAAGGCTCGTTTGCATTTTAATCCTAAAAGGGTTTTCGGTGGTAAATCAGTGTTAAATTGTGGTAAACTGACGTTAAAGATATTCCTACTCTGGGTCTAATCTTTATCCAGGACCTCACTCTATCAAAAAGGGAGACATTTCTATTTGATTCAGTCATGGTTTTAAAATGAATGGAGGTCTGTGATTCTTATCTGAAATAAGGGGTGGACTCTTTAAGCTGTAGGACGTACTGCTATATCCTTCTGTTTGTTTTCATCTCCACCTTTTTTTGCCTGTTTGTAAAGTCGTTTATACAGAGTTCACCAACTTTTACATATTTCTAAAGACTGGGGCTAGGCTAAGCGCCACATGCTAGCACTAGATTAATGTAGTCTGTATCAAAATTAACATAAAATACTAGAGTTTGAGTGACATGTAAATATCCAGAGTATATATATTATTGTTCAGATTACACACATACCAAAAATGTACAAATGTATATTTGTTCAGGGGTCATTAGCGTAGATGGTGGATGGACTATAGCTAGTGTAGCCGAAGGGCTTCCCAGATTGCGCTTTTTTTTTTTTTTGAGGGAAAAAGGGAAAAGTGTTGAGTGTCACTTGGTTTTTCCTTTTACGTTGCTCTTCATTTGGATGCACCAGTGGGTCTCAGTTCTGCTTCTGGTTAACACACCTTAAATGTACAAGCACTTTTTTTATATGCACTGCCTGTCAAAAATTTGGGGATACTTAGCATTTTAAATTGTAATACCAATGCTCATGTTTGCAGTAATTTTACATATTAAAGACTAAGCAGATAAATTCAGAGGAGAACAAAATCAAACAGTTAATATTTCTGACAACTGAAAAATTAATACATATGTTCATTAAAAGTATCAGGAATACCAGACTTTAGGAAAGTGTGTGCAGCAGTTCTAGCTGCTAAAGGAGGTTCTCTCAAGTTCCTCATTTCTTTGTCACATTTTGTTTAAAAATGAGTACTTTTTGACTACCCTTTATTAACATAGTATCTCATGTTAACAAGTACAAGACTACCCAGCACTACAAGAACCTTTATATCGCTGTAAAAAGGTTCTTTAACCCTCACATGTCCTTTAAAATGACTTTTTTAAAGAAACGTCCGTAGAAAGGTTCTTTAGAGCAGTGGTTTTCAAACAGGACCCTTCGACAGTCTACATTTTTATTCCATTCCAAATCACAATGCATCTGGATTGAGCAAAAATGCCGGCTGAGGAACGGGTTTGAGATCCACTGCTTTAAGGACCCAAAAGTGGTTCTTCTGTGACATCACTCTGAAGAACCTTTTTTAACACCTTTATTTTTAAGAGTGTACTAATTTGCATCACTTACGGGAAAAATATATGTGTTTTAATTATTGTGACATGTGTACATTTTTGAAAGTATCTCTCTCAAAAAAAAAAAAATCAGCTTAGGATTTAATATGATTAAACTGACCATTTTTAATTTCTATTTCCATCATTTTATTTCATTTTTATTGTTAGAAAGGCATGTGTTCCCTCATTTTTGAGGGCAGTGTCTATTGTAGAATGGAGGTCACCAGGACTGTTATTGAGACCCACTGGAATGGACACATCAGGGTCAGGAACTCTCCCCAAATTAGAACTAACAAAACCTTGTAATTTTTACCTGTTTAGCGTGTTACTGCCCAAGCAGATCTGACCTGCCATTATGACCACTAAGGCTTCTGAGAGAATTTTCAGCTATTAATGCTCAAAACTCTGCAGACAAGATTACCCTAGTGTGGGTCAGCAATCTACTGAAATCGTGGTGGTTTATAGTGTAACTTGTTTGCTCCTTCTGCTTTTGGAGCAACTTCTAATTCTTCCTACTTTCTTCAGAGTTTATTGCGGTTTCCTTACAAGTTTATAGTGAGTTGTGACAACAATGTTGCAAAGTATGACCAGCTGCCAGTGGAAATGAAACATCTTTGTAGAATGATGGCCTGGAACTTTAATGCAGCTTATTGGAATTTTGTACTAAACACAACTTGCATGACTTCAGGCTCGATTTGTGCTTCATCAGCTGTAGAGTCATATTTCACAGGTCACTTTTATCCCAACCACAAGTCCTTAAGAGTATGATGTCCCTTATAATATACTGCAGTAAACAGCAGCAGAGTGTTTTTACCCCAATGATGGCCTGTTTACTATCGCTGCCAGACTGCCCTCTGGTGGTGGATTGCCATAAATTGTATTTTTAGATTTTTGATAAGAGGAGTTGAACTAAACGAGTGATTACGGTCATCATATATTCGTAGTATTTCTCCACTAATAGGAGACATGAAATATATACACACAGATGCCATAAGCAATACAGAATGGCCGTCTGTTGCCTTCCTTAATAATGTAAATGTTTTAATTATGAGCTGATGCCTTGATGGTGACAAATTTAATTCAAATTATGATTTGGAAAAGGGAAATTGGTGACATTGCTTAAATTAACTTATACACTCTGCACAGAAAATCATTAGAAACTTTATATGTCATTTATATTTCTCTCACATAAAATGTATTCTCCTTTCTAAATCAAAATCATTCCATAAGAGACACAGCTATTTTATATCACTTTAATGCCTTTATGTCTTAAAGAACAACAGAAATCACTAGAATCTGATATATGAGATTATTGATTAGTCTCTTGTACTGCCACACAGGCCTGCATGACAAATATAATCATTGCCATTAATGACCAGTGTTATTGGAGTTCTACATACAGTTATTAATGATTATTGGTCATTGATTGACAGCACTCCTTGGTCAAGACACATACACACAGAGCACAGTGTGATTCTTTAGAACTGAACTGACTGCTGTTTACATTTAAGGCCGGATCTGAAGCAGTTTTTATTGTAATCTTTCATGATCAACTGATTCATTCATGAGTCTTTAAAAGTCTTTGTGCAATCCTGCTGCCATGAAGAAGCATTAAAGCGATTGTTTGGCCAAATTGAGTCAATCAGCCAAGACTTTGGTTCCTTCGAGGTTAATGCGGCTAACGAGTAATTAAAGCTTACCCCACCAACTAGCATCACACTCACTTTGCTGAACTATCGCTTTAATGGAGTGAACAGGAGTGATCTGGAGTAGACAGAGTCTTGCAGTGGAGTAATAAATCTGCATGTTCAACATTAAACAGCATCACTAATTTGAAGTAATGGAACATCTACACTCTTAAAAACGGTTCGTCAGTTCAACCTTAAAAGATTCCTTTGACAATAAGCAGTTACAGTTTCATTCAGCTCAAAAATGACTGACTGAAATTATGGTTCATTCGAAGTATTTATTTAGGTGGAATAAAACTGGTTCATTTCTTCTAACCACATGATGTCATTGTTTTAGGTTGAATTGACAAACCATTTTTTAAAGTGCGTGCAAAAATATTAACATTAGAAAAACAGTGTAGACGGTACTGATGGATATTTCTGTGTATTTGGGCATTTATTCCTCTCTTTACTGAAATCATGGCTGAACTGATTTTTTTTTTTTAAATATGTATTTTTTTTTTAAAGTTACTTCACCCCACATACGTTTTATTTTCATTTCTCCCCAAAACTATAGAATTTTACCTTTAGTATGGATTGTTTCCCCCACTTTTTTTTAATATGGATCAGTTATAGATCCCCTCAAAAACCCCTGTTGTTTCCTTTCAGTCCATGCATTCTGTGTTCTGTGCAGAGGATTTTGCTCACACAGTCACTGACCCTCCTCCACCCTGTGTCTGTCTGTCTGTCTGTCTGTC